GTCTTTACTTATATCCCTTAATACTTCTTATGTAAACAAACGTAATTCCTCTCATCTCTTACATGACAGTTACAAAGTCATCATTAATTTCATGAAAAGTAATTCTATACAGTTTTAGACTGCCATTCGTTATATTTATTCTCTGTTTTTCTTTCCCCTTTCGTTTCTCGCAACTCACTCCCACTCCGCATTACACGTGTGTGACTACACTGCTTTGTTACCTTGATCAGTGTCCACAATGCACCGCTATCAATAACATTAAATATAGGAGGGCAATATGTGCTCCTTCTATTTCTCGTTTGTTAATATAATAGTATTTTATTATTTTACACAAATTTAGTGTTCAATCAATTTTACATCATAATTAATTTGTTTTTGTTGTTTTTCCTGGTTTGGTATGTATAATTTCCTCCTTTATATATATTTATATTCATCATCAACTTTGTATTTATGTTATATGTTAGATTATTGAATGATGACACACATCAAGTGTCGAAACGTTTAATGGAATAAATCATTTTGTTATTTAATCTTTTTTTAATTCGACGATTGGGCTGCAAAAATATTGCAAATATATATGTATATATATATATATATATATACATATTATTTATAATTTATTTTCAAAATTTGCATCGGCCGTTCTCACGCCATTGATAATGACACCACGAGGCGGAAAACGCGCCGCCTTATAAAAAAGACAAATCTTTTGTCTTGGCTTTTGTGAGAATAAAAACTTTACTCTATTGAATAAAAAAAAATGCGTGTACTCGCTTTTGTATCAATTGTAATATCTCTATCAGTATTGTTACAGACGGTAATAGACGTAGTTGTACAATTTGTTAATTCAATTGCGGTCTGTCATTGACTGAAAACAAATCTATGTAGTGAATACATGGTATTTTATTTACATTTTTTGTATTACTTTTTATTTTTGAATTTTTGATACCTCCTGTTATCAATTCCTTATAGTCTGGTGGCATATCACCAGAGAAGATTCTTGCATATTTTTATTAAAATAGTCATTAGAAACGAGTGAGGAGCAGAAACAAGATAGACGTGTAATAAATCTATTTTTCACTACTCATGAGTGAGCAGTTGAAACAAAATATAGTAAATCAATCTATCTAATCTAAATATGGTTTATTAAGCACGTGATCGCATTTTAAGGATTTTTGAACACCTCTCTCCTCTTTGGTGATATTTAACTTACCCGTTCTTGTATTTTTTTTAAAATTTTCGATTATTTCTAAAACAGGTAAAAAATAAATGCACATGATGTCTCATTTAAAACATTAAAGTCTTGATTAATAAAAATAAATTGTAACAAAAAAAAAATGATGTCTCATTGGATACCCCCCCCCTCACCTCTTCTTTATAATGTTTTGTCTTTTTTTGTCAAACTCTTTTATCCTCAATGGATTTATTAAACTGCACCCTATTTTATGTGGAAAACATTTACAAGAAAATTTTACTGCCGTAAACAAGCTAAAGCAAGTGCTGCAATGATGTCTAAATTTATATTTATCCAAAATTGCAAAAATTTAATTTATCGACCAGAAGTTCAAAGAATGTAAAAGGATATGTATAGAATTATTTAGTCTTTGAGCAGATTCAATCATAAAAATTAAGACCTCATTTTGACTCTTACAATTGTCATTAAGAATAAGGACACAAAAATAAATGCTAATTTATTACAAAAATTAAATGCTAATTTATTACAAATTTTTTCAAAGTCTTAAATATTAACAGAAAGCCTTACTCCTACAATCAAACTTCAATTCTAATATTTCAAATAAAAATATAAATTACAAAATATATATATTACGTTCCACTATACATGTCCTACCTATCAATTATGTCGTAGAATTATGGTAAAAAGTATGTTTAGAATAAAAATTAAGTAAATTACCCGTGTTCATTAAAATAGCGTATCATCAGGGAACATTTAAAAGTAAAAATATTCATTAGCCGTAATAAAACGTTTAAGACTTCATAAGAAGCATTTGCAGCAAGTTCTGCTAATAATAGCTCTCCGGGTCGACATGGTGCATACGAAACATATACATACATACATATATACACATATATACATATATACATACATACATACATACATAATTTTATTTTATATTATTAAAAATATTTTTTAAAAATAAAAATATTTTTACCAAGATTCTAACTTGTGTGGAACTAATTGTGAGTTTGTTTGCATACTTTTTATTGTTTTGTAATAAATGTGGAAATACTATCCAGGTAAAGGAAATTTTGAGTTCATTGCGCTTATTTATTGTTCTATTATTAGAAATAGTCAAAAAAAAATCCTTCGTTTTCATAAGTGTTCATAATTTTTTTTGAAAAAATCCATCAATCTATTTCTTCGACTTGCCAATTTAACCATCAATCCATTTCTATTCTTCAATGAGATGCTTTGATAGATAGATAGATAGAATCCAAACTGTAAATGCATTCATATTTATCCACTTGCAGATTCTGATATCTCTAATTTAATAGTTTAAATGGCAACTAGAATGCATGAAATTCAACTCGACAAGTCGACTCGATTCTCGACGAGTTGACTCGAGAATTATTATTAAACGGCGCGATCATGTGTGAAAATATTTATTAAGTTAATAAGTAACGGGGAATAGATTACGTGATTGGTAAGAAATAGGATTTTACTCATTTTTAGAACTGTTTTTAACAAAAAAGTCTAGAGAATTCTAGGAATTAATAGATCTAATTGTTGGCTGAGTTTGCTCCCTAAGTACTTGCTTAGTGTGAAATAAATTGCTGAAGAAACTGGGACGATAGGCTTGCAATTTACTTGAGTCTTTCAGAATCGTTTGACACTAAAGTTGTAAATAGTATGTGCGAGTATGAGTCAAATATTATTCTTTCCTTGACGTTTTTTCGAAAATGTTTGCTCCAGTGTCAAAAATTCAAAACTAATTTGATGGAACTCGATAAGGATTCGCGTTGATTAATTTTGCTCAAAGATCGTTCTAGCCGTTTCTTTATAAGTAGTAAATAAGCACACAATTTTTGTCAACAAAAATCTTAAATAGTCTTTGAAAACATAGAATAATTCCAAAGATATCATTCACGAATAGGGCTGATTTGTTTTTTGCATAGATTAGCCTTGTGGATTACTTACTTTTATGTTTCTTCTTTTCTAACGGTATTAAAACCATATATGTATATTTAA